ATTGGTGCAAATACTGACACAATCAAGCACTTCTATTATTTCAGCAGATAAAAATATCAATATCACAAAATTGATCAGATTTTTTTGAATAGACCTCATCCCCACAGATCACTGATCAACAGCCAAAAAATATCCTAAATAAAATCAACAAAATATTACTATTTTTAATGTGCTAAAACCGGAATGAAACTTATTTTTTCAATATTAGTTCAAGCTTTAGAGATACGGTAATTATATGTGTTCCTGCTGTGACAGTGTTAATATACTGTAATTCACAAGAATGCACGTGCTAAATTTTTATATTCGGCAAGGAAAGATGATGTAATCGGCATGATTGTGTTACGTTATACATACGTGTACATTATATTGTTTTATATTAGCCATTTTTTCCTCAGTTGGCTGACAGCGTTCATGCAAGATGTCTCGAAAGTGTGTAAACAATCCAGATCAGTTTTGTTACGTGTGTGGTGATGTGACTTTTGCGTCTCAGAGACGGTCTATTACTCCACTAATAACAAAGGCATACCAGCTTTATTTCGGTTGTAAACTAGGTGATCAAGACAAACAGTGGGCACCCCACATCTGCTGTAATACATGTGCTTCAAGTCTGAGGAGCTGGTTAAATGGCAAAAAACGGTCTATGCGCTTTGCTGTCCCAATGGTTTGGAGAGAGCCTACAAATGATATTAATGATTGTTACTTTTGCATGGTACCTTGTGTTGAACAACCCACAGGTATATCCAAGAAAAAAAAATCGGTTATTAACTACCCAAACATACCAACTGTGATGAGACCTGTGCCTTACAGTGACGAAAATCCTATTCCAAAACCCCCAGAATCCTACACTTGCGAATCAGAAAACGAATCAGATCTTGGCGATCGAGTGATTCGTCAGGAAGAAGATATGCCATCAACGTCAAGAGATCCTGATTTTATACCGAGCACGTCATGCCACCAACCGCACAAAATAACACAGTCAGAATTAAATGATCTTGTAAGAGATTTAGAACTTCCAAAATGTAAGGCAGAGTTACTTGGATCAAGACTGCAGCAGTGGAACTTGTTAGAAGACGATGTTTCGGTATGTGTTTTTCGTAAACACCACAAATTTTTCAATATGGAGAATAACTTGGTTTTCTACAGTAACATTAACGGCTTACTGGCGGCTTTAAATATAAACTATAACCCAGAAGAATGGAGATTGTTTATAGACAGTTCAACATTGAGTTTAAAGGTAGTGTTATTGCATATTGGAAATATTTTACCATCTCTTCCTGTAGGGTATGCAGTTCACATGAAAGAATCATATGACAATATGAAATACCTATTGACATGCATAAAATACGATGAGCACCAATGCCATATTTGTGGCGATTTGAAAGTTGTTGCACTTTTACTTGGGCTGCAGTTAGGCTACACAAAGTTTTGCTGTTTTTTGTGTGAATGGGACAGTCGGGCAAAGGCACTTCATTACACCAGACAAAACTGGCCTGTTCGTCAATTCCTAGAGCCAGGTCAAAAAAATTTACAGCATATGCCATTAGTAGATTCGAAAAAAATTTTATTACCACCACTGCATATCAAGTTGGGCCTAATGAAAAAGTTTGTCAAGGCATTAGATAGAGATGGGTCAGCTTTTCAATACCTGCGTCAGAAATTTCTAAGACTAAGTGAGGCAAAGGTTAAATAAGGTATTTTTGTTGGGCCACAGATTCGAAATATTTTGAAACATACACAGTTTGAAAACACTTTAACAGGTAATGAAAAAACTGCTCGGAATGATTTCCGTCTGGCGGTCACTAATTTCTTGCGAAATAGAAAAGCTGACAACTATAAAACCCTTGTCAAAAATATGCTGTCATCGTATCAAAAGATGGGCTGTAATATGTCTCTTAAGATACATTTCCTACACTCACACCTGGACTTTTTTCCTGACAATTGCGGAGCCGTAAGTGATGAGCACGGCGAACGTTTTCATCAGGATATTTCAACAATGGAAAAAAGGTACCAGGGAAAGTGGAATCCTTCCATGCTTGCAGACTACTGTTGGACTCTTGGTAGAGATGCTCCAGAAACAATCCATAAAAGAACAGCAAAAAGACAGCGCATATAGTGATTCTTATAAGTATATGAATCTTGTTACTTTTTTTAATATATCCTTAAAAATAAAGTTTTTTTTCTAAACCGCAACTAATTTTTTTATTTCATTGTCATTTTTGGATTCAGCGCCCCAAAATTAACAAAGAAGTGCACTTTTCCCACAAGATAAAATTAAAAAACTAAAATTTGTTGTCCAGTAATCCTATTGCTATTACTATCACTCCCCTTGATATCTCGACCCATCCATTCCAAGCAGAATCTTTGTCCTGTCACTATTCGGACTAATGCAAGCATCGTTACCGTTTTCTTATTAAACTAAGTATAAGTTCGAACGAAGAATCTCATCCGCCAAAAGGTCGGATTTTTTCGGATCAACCCCAAAGACAATTCCATTGTTATTGCTATCAACCTCGTTGATATCTCGACCAATTTCACGCAGGATCTTTGTTCTGGGAGTATTCGGGATGATGATACAGCGTTATCCCGCGGCCCGCAGTGGGTGGTTCCATCGATTGACCCACTTACCCCTAGTCTCACCCCACGCCCCTCCGGGCCGAGGACGTTGCACCCTATCTGGTGCACCCAGTCGCGTTTGTGATGATACGCGCCACGACGACGCCGCTCGTTATGTCACTGTAATTAGGCCGGAGGATGATTTTTTATGCACGGCCTGTTGTTGTACACTTTCGTTTTTTCCGGGCGGAAAATAGAGCCACGTGAACATCAAGCGGAAAACATATCAGAAAAAAATGGTTGACTCCACCTCCCACGCAACAATGTCATCGGACCATAAAGGATTATGTTCGCTCCTCTGAGAAAAAGGATAGCTACGAACATGTATAACAAAAAATAGCATCAAGTAGATTGACTCTTAACCTGCTACGCCTTCCTTGGAGCTTTCAACGAAAAGGGGTGAGTTAAGTCGTTTGAAGACGCGAAATCAAATTGTGATTAGGTATGTTCGCTAAGGTACGATGAATCTTCGACCTCTGCATGTCAAACTATACTAAGTGACATATAAATCCGAACACCCAGTTTAAATGGTTTTATTTTAATAAAAGTTGGTGAATGTATTTATCTTACTGTAAATAACAAGTGAAAAAATGTTCAGTCTTACCAGTTGGACATTCCGGTTTTTATACTGCTTTTTTTAATTCACTAACGCTCTAAAAACGAACATTTCAGCCGCAGTAAAGAATCAACGTTGGCGGATTTTGGTTCTTGACATCCTTGACGACCGGTTACGATGCCTAGAGTACGGAGACCTGTACGATTTCGTGAACTTAGTGAGTTTGATAGGGGCCGTATAGTGGGACTTCGGGAAGCTGGACTTTCTTTTCGGGCAATTGCAGTTAGAGTGCAAAGAAGTGTAGACACTGTGGATAGGTGTTGTCAGGCATGACTTCGAGAAGGCCGTAAGCAAAGAGCAAGGGGCACTGGACGCCGCCGTAGAACAACAGACCGTGAAGATCGCCGCCTAAGATTATTGGCCTTTAAGGGACCGTTTCTCCACTACCAGGTCCACTGCAAATGAATGGTTTGCAGAACACGGAAGACCTATTGGCATGCGAAGTGTTTACCGACGAATGACAAGTTTCGGCTTGTTTTCATGCCGGCCACACTGAGTCCTCCCTTTAACTCGAGAACACAGACGTAACCGCCTTGAGTGGTGCAGACAACGGTCACTCTGGGATCAGGAATGGAACAGTATTGTCTTTAGTGACGAGTCTCGATTTTGTTTAGGCATGCACGATGGTCGTGCCAGGGTTAGAAGGCGACGTGGTGAAAGGAGGAATCCACAGTTTTTTGTTGAAAGACATGTTCATCACACTGTTGGAGTTATGGTTTGGGGTGCTATAGCTTATGGTTCCAGGTGACCTTTAATCTTCATCAGAGGTAACTTAAACGCGCAGCGTTATATCCACGAAGTTCTAGAACCCCATCTTTTACCCTATCTTGACACCCTGGCAGATCCAACTTTCCAACAAGATAATGCCCGACCACATGTTGCAAGAATCACAATAGACTTCTTTCAACATAATGATGTCACATTGTTACCATGGCCACCAAGATCTCCCGACTTATCCCCAATTGAGCACGTGTGGGATATGATGGGTAGGAGATTGCTCAATTTGCAAGGTCCTCCTCAGACTCTAGAGGCACTTCGAGAGGAGTTGGTGGTTGCCTGGAATGAGATGCTACAGGAGGACATTGACCACCTGATCAGAAGCATGCCTAGGCGGGTTGGAGAATGCGTAGCACATCAGGGTGCATCCACACATTATTAAAGGTCAAAGGGCTTTAAAGCAGTGCAATCATTTTGAAATTTTTATCATTTACTTATTATGCTTCATTAAGTACTTATACAAAATTTTATTAAAATAAAACCATTTAAACTGGGTGTTCGGATTTACAGTCCCTTGCCATATTATTAGACTCATGCTGCAAATCTACTTTTACTTTATATTTCTTGTTGTTATTATGAACTTTTTGCAGATATGTTGGTAGAACTTGAGTTTTTGAATATCGCGGGCACTTTTATCGTTTTGGCAACACTGACATATATATTTACACGTTTTGAGGCCATATTATGATAAAAAACAATTTCAGAATGGGAAAACTGTCTGACTTGTCGCCAATAAAAGTTGGTCGAATTTCCGGCATGCTGGAAGCACGAAACATGTCACAATACCAAATAGCGCGAATTGTTGGAATTTCTCAAAGTTCTGTAAAACGAATTAAACAAAAAATAGACCTCGGTGAAAATCTGAGAGCCAAACGTAAAGGTGCGTGCGGTCGTCGGGGAATCACGACAGAGAGAAGTGACCGAAAAATTCGCAATATTTGTGTTGAAAATCGAAAACTGCCGATAAAAATTCTTACAAAAAAAGTTCTTGAAGCCGGCATTGAGGTTTCGCAAAGAACAGTGCAGCGGAGGTTAGCAGAAGAGGGTCTTATTGGACGTAGACCAGCACGCAAACCAAGACTTACACCTGCTATGATATCAAGCGATACCAATGGGCACGAAGATACAAGGATTTCACGACTGATAACTGGAGGAACGTAAATAAATGCTATATAACTATACTCAAGTCGTTCTTGTACTGTAGATATTGTTTAATCTAAATTCTATGACGTTTTTCAGGTATGTTTTACGGACGAGTCGATTTTCCAAGTGTATTGGTCGACAAATCGCAGTTTGTACGGCGAAGGACAAATGAGAAATATAATAATAATAATAATAATATAAGCCAGAATGCCACCTCAAGTGAAAAAATGGTTCAACAAACGAGAAAAGCCAATTTTTATGCATGACGGTGCGCCTTGCCATCGTGCACAAAAAGTTAAAAAAATTTTAGCCAAAAAAAAGTAGATATTCTCGACTGGCCAGGAAATTCGCCCGACATGAACCCCATCGAGAACGTCTGGGAGTTTTTGAAATCTGAGGTTACGATGAAAGCCCCTACAACCAAGCAAGAGTTGATCAATATACTTAATGACACTTGGAAACATAACCCAGAGCTCAAAATAAAAATTCAAAACTGTATAAGCAGTATGCCACGTCGCGTTGAAGCTGTGTTGGCTGCGAAAGGGGGTCATACAAAATACTAATTTTAGCAAAAAAATATATTTTCATGTGAAAAGATTCCATTTTCATGTAAATTTCTAATTTTCTATGCGACATTTGTTGTATTTAAATAAATTTTGATGTTTCATCATGGATAAGCTTTGTAAATGTCTACTGGCGTGTTATAAGCCAGGAAAACTTCATTTTTAAGCATGAGTCCATTAATATGGCAAGGGACTGTATATGTCACTTAGTATGTATAAAGCAAAACTACCTTAGGTCTGTTTCCATGGCTGATGTTAGGAAAATATGTGTGACTTTCAGGTGCATAGTATCACTGAGATCAGCAGCTTCTTAAAAATAGAAGGTCTTTCACTAACAAAAAATATGCATCAATTTACAACCATTTATCAACTTCTTTTGACGAGTTCTACAAGCTGTTAAAATGAATAGCTCAACTTTGAAAACAGCCTGTATATGTGCTTAAAGGTTCGATTCCCTTTGTAACACAGTAGATCGTAGCGTTTTGAATCCCACTGGTGCCGAGTATGTTTTTAACTGTATCTGATAAAAAATTCGGTCGATTATATGGGGTTGTCGTTGGTTGTGTGGCATGTTGCACCGTCTTGTTCGAAATAAACATCGTCCATATCCATTCCTTCAAGTTGCGGCAAAAAATAGTCCTCTATCGTCACGAGATATCGCTCAGAATTGACGGTAACGGCGTCCCCGGCCGCATTTTCGAAAAAGTAAGGTCCGATGATGCCTTTTGACCACAATGCACACCACACAGTCACTTTTTGAGGATGCATCGGCTGCTCTTGATACTCACGGGGATTTACGTTCGCCCAGATGCGGCAGTTTTGCTTGTTTACCGTCCCATTCAAAGTGAAATGCGCTTCGTCGCTGAACATGATTTTTGATGAAAAATTGGCATCAATTTGGCGGTGTTCAAGGAGCCAATCTGAGAACGTTCGGCGCGAAAAATGGTCGGCCCGACGCAGCTCTTGCGTCAATTCGATCTTGTAGGCGTGTACATTCAAATCCTTGTGGAGAATGCGGAGCAAACTGGTTCTCGAAATGCCCAATTCTTGGGAACGACGCGTTGTTCATTGTTTCGGATCGTCTCTCACACTCTCCTTGACAACAGCAATATTTTCCGGTGTGCGAACGCTCCTTGGCCGGCCAGAGCCTGGCAGATTTGCCACAGAACCTGTTGCCTCGAATTTACGCACCAGTTGTTGTTTGGGCAGTTGTTGCGACCGAAATGTTCACGAAGCGCGCGAAACGTGTTTTTTATTTTTGCACCATTTTTGTAGTGCTCTTGAATAACTTTAATGCGGTCTTCAATCGAATACGACTCCATAGCGATCAATGGTAAACATTCAACTAACAAAATGACATGTCGGTGACAGAAAACAAAGATGGCGTCTATGTCAAATTGACGTTTACTTTCCTGCGTCCCTATTGGACAACCCTTTACTTTTGATCACCCTGTATATCCATGTAAGCGAAACAGTTTCCATCGTAATTAAAAATGACAGGAAGCGCCAGCAAGGTTTCTTGTTTGTATTCTTTTTTCTCTGCAGCGTGACATCGGGCATTAACACTGGCATTGTTTCACTAGAAGCAACACCCTTCCTTTTGCAATTCAATTACGTGACAGGTAGCATGAATTTGTTTCGAGCAAGCAATATTAACGATGTTGTAATAGGTCGTAATTTTAGTATGGTGCGAATCATTCGTTTTACTTCCTATGCCGAAACCGTAATCGTTCACTTTTTCTTACTACTGATACTATATGAACTGATGAGAGCGTCGCATGGGAAGGGCAATTTAAAAAGAAACCGAAGGAAGGAGGATTTTTCAATATTTATACGATGCTTTAAAACAAAGCACAACGCACGGAACCTTGTATAAAATCAACACAAATTAGGCAATTCGCTTCAGCCAATTTAAGATTAATCAAAGCTTATAAACAAAATGGAACATCAGTGCATGGCATATTAATCTTGTCCGTGACCTTCAGTGGCATCAAGGCGCTACTGACGCTACCAGAGAGAGAATAAAGAAGAAAATCCACTACCTTCCTGCGATCTGTCGTAATCATGGCCCAGGTCTTTTATAGAGCTGGAATTCAAGTTCAATTCGATTTACTCGAGAAAACGGTAATTGTGTTACGGCCGACCGACGACACGGCAGGCGACAGACGGATGAAGAACCTAATGCTGCTGTCACTTGCATACAGGTTGGAATTCAAACGCTTCCTCGACGGGACTCTGCATAATAAACACCCAACTAACAATTTTATGTTTTATGAATGTCCTAACGACGTTTACAGAACTATGTATGGGAATAAGAGGCGAGTTGTTACTGTGAATTAAGGCTTTTCTCACCGGAGGACTTTCTCTGTGGGCGTCAGTGATAGCCAGTCTCACCTTCATCATGTAGCAAGTGGAGTTCCTCAAGGCTCTGTCTTGGGGCCAGTGCTGTTCCTTCTGTAAACAAGTGACCTGCCCGCATTGATTTCCTCCACATGTTCAGCTTATGCCGACGACACCAAGATTTACAATACTGTCATAAATTCTGCTATGCTTCAACGAGATCTTGATATTGTTTGTCAATGGTCAGTCAGTTGGCTTTTACCCTTAAATCTAACTAAGTGTTGTGTCCTTCACCTCGGGAAGACAAATCCGCGATTTACATACACGAAGCAGTTTCCAGCCACACTGATCTGGGCGTTGTAGTCAACGATCGTCTTTCCTGGTCAGAGCATATTCACCACGTTACATCAAAAGCCAAGAAACTTCTATACATGCTGGAGAGGTCTTTCAAAGGATCCGATGTCAACAATTGCGCCTACATTTACAAGGCATTCGTGAGGCCAAATCTTGAATTCGCTGGCCCGGTATGGGACACTGTGCTTCTGCGCGATAGAAATCTCGTCGAATCAGTACAGCGTCGGGCTACTCGTATCCCTTTTGGAGCACGAAGACCAAGCTATGAAGATCGCCTTGAATTATTCAACCTGACCTCATTCTCTGCGCGAAGACTTCGTGGCGATCTTATAGTTACGTTCAGGATACTTCATGGTTTGATGGGCACCAACCTCATGCATCTATACCGTCTGTCGCGCAGCAATCTACGCGGACACAGCTTCAAACTGCATAAGGAGCCATTTAAAACAACAGACCGACAGTGGTTTCTTCCCAACCGCATATTCAACACCTGGAATAGTTTACCTGAAAATGTGGTTGGTGCTACTTCAGTTAATAGCTTCAAAGTGCAGTATGATAGCTGGAGGAGTGTACAAACTTTATAGCTATGAACTGTCTTTTTTATTTTTTTCTATTTGATGTATTTGTGTCCGTACACTATATTTACTGCATGAGCTTATAGTACTGTGTACTCTGCTCATCTCAATTATCATAATAATAATAATAATAACTATTTTTATAAAACAACAATACCTCTGTAGACGTTCTAACAAGGTTCATGCAACGCTTATAAACCGAAAAAAAGTTGCATTTATTTTTAAATCTCGCCGCAAATAAACTAGAACGATTTTGGAAAAATTCAGTTTTTTCCGACTCTCCACGGAAGTACTTTTCAAGCGGCATTTTGTTAGCTCCTAAATACGCAACTTTGTCAACATTTAAGCGTCTTCCTATCTCCTAGCATTTCCGAGATCCCAAACTATAAGCTTGAGGCTTCAAAATGTTTTTCTTAAAACCTCGATACTATCATTTTTCAATGAGATGCGGATTCCGAAAAGTCACTAACAATTCGGATACATTTTTTTATTCTTTCATTTTTCTCATTAGTGTATAATCCAATAACAAAATCTAAGGCCCAATTTCACCAACAACAGTCCGTTATTCTCCACCTATAGGGTAACAAATTTTAGCAACCAATAGCTATGAAATGTTGAAAACAAAATACTGTCAAAGTATGAGATGACAGCTTGTCATTGAAACATCACCAGCTTATTGAATATTAAGAACTTACATATAATTCAGTCAAAATTTTAAGAAATGTTTAATTACTATTGATGATTTTTTATTCATGTTTATATTATTTTCTTCAATTGATATGCGATACTGGGTGTTTTTTTCCTATAAACCCCTTGCAGATAGCCATTAAGCACCTACTTGATGACAGGCTCTACCAAAAGATATTGCTCGTTTCCAAACATTCATTCATTTACTTGTCGTTCATCAGAACCATTATGACACCTTAGATTGATATTCCCACAAAACCATTCAGGTTTTTTGATATCCATACATCCATAAAGTTGAATATTTTTCGTTGTTCAGGAACTGAACAAACATCCACACTATATTCACAGCGATTAAGAAATTCCCAAATATATGCCTTAAAGCTACCTGCAAAAAACTACAAATTTGCCATATTTTTCTTTTTTCACGAGTACACATTCTAGGTTATACTTATATAAGACAATATTTGAGTACAGCTGATTATTGCATTTCAAGGA